GAGTTCCCAGAACTTTATTCCTGGGCATGATTTTGAATGCCCGGAGCCAACTGTAGGCCACTTCGTGGTCTTCGAGTTCCCAGAACTCCATTCCTGGGCCACATTTTGAATGCCCGGAGCCAAGTGTAGGCCACTTCGTCGTCTTCGAGTTCCCAGATTTTATTCCTGGGCATGATTTTGAATGCCCGGAGCCAACTGTAGGCCACTTCGTGTTCTTCGAGTTCCCAGAACTCCATTCCCGGGCCACATTTTGAATGCTGAGGCAGGCTGATGCTGAGGCTGAGGCAGGCTGAGGCTGAGGCTGAGGCTGAGGCCGAGGCTGAAGGCAGACTGAGGCTGAGGCTGAAGCAGGCTGAGGCTGAGGCTGAGGCAGGCTGAGGCTGAGGCTGAGGCAGGCTGATGCTGAGGCAGGCTGAGGCTGAGGCTGAGGCTGATGCAGGCTGAGGCTGAGGCAGGCTGAGGCTGAGGCCGAGGCTGAAGGCAGACTGAGGCTGAGGCTGAAGCAGGCTGAGGCTGAGGCTGAGGCAGGCTGAGGCTGAGGCTGAGGCAGGCTGAGGCTGAGGCTGAGGCTGATGCAGGCTGAGGCTGAGGCAGGCTGAGGCTGAGGCCGAGGCTGAGGCTGAGGCTGAGGCTGAGGCTGAGGCTGAGGCTGAGGCTGAGGCAGGCTGAGGCTGAGGCTGAGGCTGAGGCAGGCTGAGGCTGAGGCTGAGGCTGAGGCTGAGGCAGGCTGAGGCTGAGGCTGAGGCTGAGGCTGAGGCTGAGGCTGAGGCTGAGGCTGAGGCTGAGGCAGGCTGAGGCTGAGGCTGAGGCAGGCTGATGCTGAGGCAGGCTGAGGCTGAGGCTGAGGCTGAGGCTGAGGCTGAGGCTGAGGCTGAGGCTGAGGCCGAGGCTGAAGGCAGACTGAGGCTGAGGCTGAAGCAGGCTGAGGCTGAGGCTGAGGCAGGCTGAGGCTGAGGCTGAGGCAGGCTGAGGAGGCTGAGGCTGAGGCTGAGGCTGATGCAGGCTGAGGCTGAGGCAGGCTGAGGCTGAGGCCGAGGCTGAAGGCAGACTGAGGCTGAGGCTGAAGCAGGCTGAGGCTGAGGCTGAGGCAGGCTGAGGCTGAGGCTGAGGCAGGCTGAGGCTGAGGCTGAGGCTGAGGCTGCAGGCTGAGGCTGAGGCAGGCTGAGGCTGAGGCCGAGGCTGAAGGCAGACTGAGGCTGAGGCTGAAGCAGGCTGAGGCTGAGGCTGAGGCAGGCTGAGGCTGAGGCAGGCTGAGGCTGAGGCTGAGGCAGGCTGATGCTGAGGCAGGCTGAGGCTGAAGGCTGATGCAGGCTGAGGCTGAGGCTGAGGCTGCTGAGGCTGAGGCAGGCTGAGGCTGAGGCTGAGGCAGGCTGAGGCTGAGGCTGAGCTGAGGCAGGCTGAGGCTGAGGCTGAGGCAGAGGCTGAGGCAGGCTGAGGCTGAGGCCGAGGCTGAAGGCAGACTGAGGCTGAGGCTGAAGCAGGCTGAGGCTGAGGCTGAGGCAGGCTGAGGCTGAGGCTGAGGCAGGCTGAGGCTGAGGCAGGCTGAGGCTGAGGCTGAGGCTGATGCAGGCTGAGGCTGAGGCAGGCTGAGGCTGAGGCCGAGGCTGAAGGCAGACTGAGGCTGAGGCTGAAGCAGGCTGAGGCTGAGGCTGAGGCAGGCTGAGGCTGAGGCTGAGGCAGGCTGATGCTGAGGCAGGCTGAGGCTGAGGCTGAGGCTGATGCAGGGTGAGGCTGAGGCAGGCTGAGGCTGAGGCCGAGGCTGAAGGCAGACTGATGTTGAGGCTGAAGCAGGCTGAGGCTGAGGCTGAGGCAGGCTGAGGCTGAGGCTGAGGCAGGCTCAGGCTGAGGCTGTGACTGCGACTGCCGTTTCCACTGCGACTGCCATCGCGAATGCGACTACGACTGCGAGAACAGCAGAATTCTACAACAGGAATTTCATCTGAATCTTAAGGGGAATGCTTGCAGATATGCTCCTACACATCGCTGTTAGGTTGCTTTGCCGGGATAAGTAGAGTTCCCAGCCTTTTGGCATCCCGACGCTCCAAGACGGCCCAAGTGGCCCCCACGGCCGCTCCAAGATGGCCGAAGAGGCCTCCAAGAGGGCCCCAAGACAGCCCACGAGGGCCCCAAGACGGTGCCCGAGGCGCCCAAGACGGCCCGAGAGTGCCCCAAGAGGGCCCCAAGAGAGCCCCAAGAAGGGGAACGCGAACCCAACAGCAGAGCTTTCCGCCCTAAGAGGCCCACAGGAGGCCCCAAGAGTCCCCAAGTGGTCCGACGAGGCCCCCCAAAGCCCCCACCAGGCCCCAAAAGGCTCACAGGAGACGTACACGGGGCCCCAAGATAGCCGAACAGTGCTCTCGATGCATCAAAATTGCTTCAAGGAGGCCCCGGGAGGCTTCCAGATTGCCCCAATGTGGCCTCAAGTTGGGCCTCCACGCAGCCAAGACGGCCAATTGACTGCTGCAGACTGCGGAACATCACTTTCCGACTTCCCGGAGAACCCTGACGATGCCCCCAAGGGACCCCAAGAAGCCCCAAGATGCCCCCCCGAGAAGCACCCAAGAGGTGCTTCAATTGAGGAAGCACGGAGAACCCCCCAGAAGCCCTTCAGATGCCCCCACGAAGACCATAGAGGTTCCCAAGAGACCCTCAGGAGGTACGACTATGTCCCGCGCCTGTGCTCGATAGCGTTGTCCAAGATCTTCTAGCGCGCCCCCAGCCTGGGCTAGAACCTGAGCGCGCGCGAAGCGCGCGCGATGGTTCTAGTATATATATATATATACACATGCATACATACATGCAGACAGACATGCACACATACATTTATGTGTATACAAATATTCTATATGTTTCCATAATTACATGTATGTATACATATACAGATATGTGTATATGCCCTGTATGTGCTGTTCACCGAAACATAACCCATCACATGTATTCTTCTACACTTTGCTATCCATTTTCTCGTCATTGCTATTGCACGCCTCACGGCCTCACCAACCATTGATCTCCCCAGATCAAGTTGGTAGCCGAGCGGGCTCTGCCATCCGCCCCACCCCCCCGTTTGGGTCTCACCAGCGCAGCTATGAAGGGATTTCAGTACAGATCGAAGGGAGACGGCGATGGGACACCACCTGGAGTGGTACCTCCCTCACCTTACCCACGAGCTTCCGGTGTGAGCCCACAACACCCTTCCCCATGATTTGGCCTTAACATGCTAAAGGTGGCCGACATTTCGTTGCGCGCGAAATGAGTGGAAGAACAGCCCGGAGAGCTGCAATCCTCATTCGTCGTCGCTGCGTGGATGCGTCTGGCCCGGTCTGCAACGCAGTAGCTTCGCTGGGCGCTCGCAGCTCACGGGAAACAGCGCAATTCTGGGAATAGATGCGCACGCGTATCCCGCGTGCCTTCCTTCTCGCCCACCCCGGAAGCAAGGCGCTGCGAAGCAAGCCTGTTTTGCCAGCGCGGCGATGGGAGACTTCGCAGGTACATTCGTTGAGTTCCAGGAGGTGCGCAGCGGATGACCATGCGCGGCGGAGGCCCTTGCGAACTCGCGTTCAGCGCGCCTTCGTGGAATGCAGCGAGAAACCATCCATATCTTCATTGATTCTTCGTGGATCTCGTCAAGGGCACGCGGGAGAACAGAGATCGGCCACGCGCGCTTCGCGCAGACACCTGCCAGACAACCGACGCGCGGAAATCCAATGGAAGAATTGTCGAAATTTGGGCAGACGACGTTGACCTCATCGCAAAAATACGGAAATGCGCCCCCGACCTGCACATGCACAGCTTGTAGTTACGGAAAGCGCGTGGGACGACGCCCTTGCGGCCCCGGGGCACCTGCGCGCGATGAGCCAATTGCGACTATGGAGGCAGACCCAGCAGCAGACGCCGCAGCCCCGTCCCCGCCGGCGCCGCTACTGCCGCAGCCTGGGAGGTAGAACCCGACTGCGCGGGGTTCGCGCGACCCTGCGCCACCAGAACTAGCTCAACCAGACGGCGGGGCACCCACGGCGAGTGGGCCACCGGAGTTCCCGCCTCCACCGGACGCACCTGCAAACGCGCTGCTGCCAGCAGCCATAACGGCTGCAAAGAGTCATCGCGCGAAGCGGCGCGGAAACGCAAGCAAGTGCGGAAGGCGTCGAATGGTTTCCGTGGAGCCTGGGCCGTGGCATGCAGTTGTTGCGATCCTAGGAGCCAGCCGTGGCAAGACGCGCCACGCGCATTTTGCATGTCCGTCGGAGGCGCGCGTCTGCCAAGAAAATGGATAGTTTGTTGCAAACTGCAGGGGCTCTAGAGTCAGCGATAAGGATTGCGCAAAGGATTGCACATGCACGCCGAGCATGCAGAACGCAGGCGCGTCCGCAACCAGCGTCCATGGCAACGGCGCGCTTGGCAGAGCGCTTCAACGAACATGCGCAACGCGATTTATGGATTCGCGTGGATGGAAGGACCAATGCAGCATCTCAGCGACGCGTGCACTCGCTCGTCGAAAGCGGAGTTCCTCAACGGGAAAACCGCCGTTGGCAAAATTTGGGTTCGACCGTCTGGCCCCCCAAATGTTCTTGAATCCATGCCAGCGACGGAGCCGAAGTTTACCTCGTGCACCTTGTCATGGAATTCAAAGAAAATGGCGCAGGCGCACACGTCTGCATGCTCGGAAAAAAAACACAGCGACATCTTGCGTTGCCAGCTCTGGCGCTTGAGACACAATGATTGGAGGAAGGCTTTAGCATTTACTCTTCATGATTTTGACCATTTGTGCTGTTGCCAAATCTTGTTCACCGTCGTCAAACCCACGCCAGTGCATATAGCATTTGGAAAACAACCGTTCATCCTTCCAGACAGCGATGTGTTCGATGCGCGCCGCGACGATTCTGAGTGACCGAGCGTTTCCCGGAACGCGCGCCACGTCAGAGATTTGGCCGTGCAAGACATGGCGAGTTCAATTGCAAACGAACGGTTGGAAGGAGCATTGAATTCCAAAGTACGAAGGGCATCGCAAACTTGATAATCTAAGACAGGCGACTTTATTGAAAATGATCGTGCGCCCGCCATCAAGGACACGAGCGGTTGGAGAGGTCTGCGCACCGTCATTCATGTCGAAGACGATGGCACGATTCATGTAAAGTACCAAGGTCGTAATTACGCTGATTTGTCGTTTTCCAACCTCGCGCATTTTGCGTTCGGTGCAGCTTTGCGTTCAGGATCATGCAGCGTAGTAAGGGGCGCACTGTTGGACGCATTGTGTAGGCAAGTCACAGGTCCAGGCAAGTGCACACACCACTTTGGATACATCCTCACGGAGACAATGTGCACATTAACCCACGTTGCATAGCAACGCAGGCACAATTACATGTCAAAGAGCCTCATGCAATTTGCATGTGGTAAGTTGAATTGGAGCACGGATAGGGATTGGGGAGCGACGCCTTGACCCACTAACGGACGCGGGTGAGTCATCGTTGTGGTGGTGCGGCGTGAAAATGGCCGGTGATGCCCAGTTGTGCCCTGATTGTGCCCCGGGACCATCAAGAAAGGATTTGGGGTGAAACGTTGCACCAAATGGACCCCAGGAGGGGTTTTGGGATTGATATTTAGCAGATTTGGCCTCATCTCTTCTCTTGACCATTGTTCTCGGGGCCTATCCAGCTCAGACCCCATCGCTGCCTCGAACTCCCCCGTTTCCTCCACCTTCCCCTCACCCTCCCCTGCCCTCTCTTCTCCCCTCCCTCCTGCTGCACCTGCAGGCGTTTGGCCTGCACCTGCACTGATCATCGTGCATAGACTGGCACTTCATGCGGAGCCTTGATGTCGAATAGCTGCTCCGCATCGCTTTCGTTGTTCCTCCAGTTGATGTCCGTTCTCGGACTCCCTCTTTGGTGTGTTGCCTTCCGCCTCCGCCCGCCCGCCCTTTCCCAGACCAGGTCTGCAGCGAGTTCATCTCGCACGGGGCTGCCCAGCAGGGGGGCCAGGTGATGGGTTTCGCCAACGTCCGGCTGATGCGCAACGTCAAGGTTGGGTGTGGGGCCCCCTCCCCTCCTGGGGGGACGAGCCGCATTGGGCCTGGATTTCCGGCGGCGCGCAGCAGACTCCTCGGCAGCGTCGGCGTCCGGGGGCCAGGCGCTACCGAGGGTCGTCGCCAGACAGGCTTGCTAGCCGAGGGTGTGGTCGCTGGCGGCGGACACATGGTGGTGGCGAGAGGGGGATGGGCTTCTGAGAAGGCGGGGGGCCTCTCTCCAGGCAGAGGCCTTCTTGCAAGCGCCATGCGGCCTCTAAGGGTGCTTCCCAGAAGCCAGGAGAGCTATCAAGAAGCCTGGCCGCATTTTTATAGAAGCCACGCCGCCTTCGCAGAAGCACCCCCCCCTCTTGCAACCCCCTTGTGGGCGCCGCCGAGGTCCAGAGCTCGGGGGGGCCCACGTCGAGGAAGGATCACGGAGAAGGTGCGAGGGTCAGGCTGGCCCACCCAGTGTTGATGCACATCTCGGGGGGGAGGCTCGCAGGGAACATCACAGGTGCGGCGACGGCCACACGCCACCATGCGTCGCAAGATGTGGAAGAGGAGGAGGCGAGAGCGAGGATGTTAATGATACGTGGATGCAAATCACAGAGGTGCCAGCTAGTCTCCCGCTAGCGCCTCTGATCAAAGAAGCCCGCCTCGCAGATTAAGAAACAAAGTTGAAAAGGATCTGAGGAGCTGAATCCGATATTAGGCAGCTTTTGGACCTTTCTTGAGGTGGGGAATGGGAAAGAGGGCGGGGGCGGGAAAGGGGGCAAACAACGGATGATATTTGGGGCGAGGACGGCGGAGGGGATAAGCAGGATGAGGTTGGGAGGGACGCCGTCCGGTGTAAGCTGGGGGGGGGGGGGACGCCGTTCTGTCATTCGGCTCGCGCTTCGGGCCGCCTCCTGCCGATCTCGCCCGTGAACACCCTGTCAAGGGTCGAGTAGGGGATCGACTACAGAATTGATTTGCCCCAGAATTGATCCGTAGGGGCTTCGCCCCCTGCCGCTGGCCCCCCCTCTCTCGGAGAATGCGCTATGCAAGAGCTATGTCATGAGGCCTGGGCGCTGTCGTGGAGCAGTATCCGAACTTCATACGAGGCCGACTCGTAATGAGCAAAACCAATTGATCACCAGAGGACTTACCACACCTGGCGGTTGGTAAGACGTCGTGACCCTGCGGATGTGCATGAGGGGTGCCACCGAATTTCAGAAATGTGGCAAATCCTTTGTGTCTTTGGACCCTGACCCTACGGATCTGCGTGAGGGGTGCCACCGAAGTCTAGAAATGTGGCAAATCCCATGTGTTTTTAGACCCTGACCCTACGGATCTGCATGAGGGGTGCCACCGAATTTTAGAAATGTGGCAAATCCCATGTGTTTTTGGACCCTGACCCTACGGATCTGCGTGAGGGCTGCCACCGAAGTTTAGAAATGTGGCAAATCCCATGTGTTTTGGGACCCTGACCCTACGGATCTGCGTGAGGGGTGCCACCGAATTTTAGAAATGTGGCTAATCCCATGTGTTTTTGGACCCTGACCCTACGGATCTGCGTGAGGGGTGCCACCGAATTTTAGATATGTGGCAAATCCCATATGTTTTCGGACCCTGACCTCTGCGGGAGGGGTGCCATCGAAATGTTGCAAATCCATTGTGTTTGTTGGACCCTGACCCTACGGATCTGGGTGAGGGGCGCCACCAAGGTTTAGAAATGTGGCAAATCCCATGTGTTTTTGAACCCTGACCCTACGGATCTACGTGAGGGGTGTTAGTTTTTACCCCCCTCCGGAATTCTGAGAACCCTCCCCGGGCGTGGTAGTTCTGCTGGTGTGGGCTCCCCCCCCTCGCGCGTTCACCAACAAGGAACAGAAAGCAGCAAGAAGCAGAACTGTAACAGTGGAAACTGGAAGCTGCAACTGGTACAGGGAGCAGCAAATTCCCGGCCTACAGCCTGGTGGCCCCGCAAGGGGGCCGGCGAATTTTTCTTGTCGAATCTACGGGCAACGCGTAGAATTTTAGCAGATCTACGGATGGTTGACGTATTCTTGCTGAAGAGTCGACGTGAAAATCAATTTTGGGGTAAATCAATTCTGTAGTCGATCCCCCAGTCGGAAGGTAGGCCAGCAGGAACCTGGAGGGGGTGGTGACGCGGACCCCCGCCTCAACCGCTTCACAGCGCCGCCGCTGTGTTGTCCCGTGATACTGGAGATGCCTCACCACCCGATGGGCCTTCGGAATTTCTCCCACCACCTCAACCTCAACCGTCGCACGTGGTTTTGAGGGCGTCTCCGCACAAACGCTTGAACGCATCGGGTGCATTCTTGAGGAGCTTTACTCTGGAGGTTCTGATGCGCTCGAGGTGTTTCCCAAATTCATGATCGAATTTTGCAGGGCAACCTCGTAGTCGGTAAGCGTCTGCCCCACGCTGACCTCATCGGTGCACAGTGTGCCCAGGATGTTTCTAGTCATATGGCAACAGTCAGGAGAGAAACAAACACACACACAGACACAATTCACCGTGGATCCCCAGCAAAATGAGGGAACATATTGGAAGTGGGGGGGGAAGACGAAAATCCAGAAACTATGAAGAACTATGGGGAATCCTGGGATTTGTGTCTATTTATTTGTATGTCCCAGAGCCTCTTCAAACAGGCCGCCACCGACCCGAAGTCTTCCTCCACTGATTGCTGGCACTGCTCGCCCCCACCTTCAAAGCTGATGTCGTCGAGCTCATTTTTGCCCTCCAACGTCTCGCTGCGGGGCGCGTGGGTCTGCTGCGATTGCATGCCTTTCTCTCATTCCGTTTTGAAGTTGCGCGGTTCCGCCACCGCGCTCGGGCGGGTGGCGGGGGGGGCGGGGGGGCCATGGGACCCCGTTTCCCCAGGCTCTACGTTTGGGACCACGGTCTTCCTGGACGGTCAGAGACGCAGGGACTTGGCCAAACAAGTGAACGCATCCTGGGCTTGATGCGCCGGGGCAGGGAGGGGGGGGGCGAACTGTAACTTCGCAGGACGCAAACGAGCCCGACGCACACCAACCGCTGCAAGCGCGGTGGTGGATTGTGTTGCCCGTCAGAGTAAATTTGCGTTTGCAAGCGCATTGTGGGGCTCACATGTTTGCCCTGGGGTGTTCTGAGTTCTGCTGTGAGTTTAGGAAGTCGCAGTAGTGCTGACGTGCTTGTTTGGGTTCTATGAGTGTCCTGAATTTGGTGCTGCTGCTGCGCGGCGAATGGACTCAACCAGCGTGTAGCCACTGCAACAAGTTGAGCGTGCCCGGCCACCGCTTTCCTGGCAGATCGGCGCAGTGGTATCTTCTGCCGCCGATCTGCCAGGAAAGCGGGGGCCGGGCTCGATCCCGACAGGATCGGGATTTTTTGTGCGTCTCGAATCAGTCGCCATTTATGAAGGGAGGAGAAAGCACCCGGAGCGGACAATTGGCGTTTACTACACGGCCGTGGTCGTTTACTAAACAGCGCTGCCCTGTGTGATTCCTTCTTTGGGCGCGTTTGCTAAACGGCCTCGCTTGTCGGGGTGGTTATTATGGGGGCGGTTGTTGTTTGCCTTCTAATTTAGTGGCTTCCTACAGTGCTCATGAGACTACCTTTAGGTCGGTCCTGTCCCTCTACAGGAGGAATATTGAACAATAGTAAAACATCGTATGGGGACGTTTTCTCTTATCATGGTTTAGTATTTCCAGGGTATTGTCTTTGACTATTTCCAATGTTTCGTCCATCCCCCTGTAGGGAGACAGGCCCGACCTAAGACTACCTGCGTGCTCAACCCCCGTGTCCTGACGGCGAGTCTCGATCGCGAGCCGCTGCGAGCGCGGCAGAGGCAGGGCGAGCCAGGTGCGTCCTGCGCAGACCACATCTCGCCCAGAGCCCCTTCTCGGACACCCATCCTTCAGGAGGATGGGAGGAGGGGAAGGGAGTCCTCTTCCTCCTCCTCCCCCTCCTCCTCCTCCTCCTCCTCCTCCTCCTCCTCCTCCTCCTCCTCCTCCCCCTCCCCCTCCTCCTCCCCCTCCCCCCCATCCCCCTTCTCCTCCTCCTCCTCCTGGATCGAGGATCGATGTCTGAGGATCCAGTTTGTTGCGTGTGTTTCTTGTCTCTTCGTCCTCTGGGGGCTTCTCGTGGCCGCGCGGCTGGATCCGCATTGAAACGCACCCCTGGAGAGGTACACGAGTTGATTCCGAGCAGTCTCCTAATCTCGACTGTCCACGAAGGGTAGGTCTCGGGCACTCATCATGGGAAGATCGCCCCTTGGCCCGCAACCTTGTCACGCCGAGGAGGGAACACACACACGTGCGGGGCAGACACAACATCTGCATTGTAAGCATGACAGAATACCCTCGCCTCTTGGCCAAGAACTTCCACCCAGATGTCGCTACGGACGCATCCTCGCCCCGTGGTCCAAACCTGCCAGCCAGACGTCCTCACCCACTCGCTCAAGCTTCTCGCGGATACGGTCGGCGCCCGAAGCGCCGCGTGGGAGTGTGTGGGGCGGGTCTGGCGCCAACCAAGGTATCCGCGAGGGCCTCCGAAATGTCACGGTTAGAGGGCTCATTTCGATTCCTCCGATTCGGTTCGATTCGGGCAAGGCCTTGTGGCCTTGGCAAGCGCCGGCCCGGACTCGATGCGCACGCTCTCGCGGAGAGACCGTCCTCCCTCCGCCTGGAGGGTTTCTCCGAAGGGCTTCGGCGACCAGTCCTCCTCCTCCTCCTCCTCCTCCTCCTCCGCCCCCATTTCCTCCTTCCCCTCCCCCTCCTCCTCCAGCTGCTCGAGGGGATCCCCGCCCTTACCGCAGCATCCACCCGTCGACCGAACCCCTCCTCCTCCTCGCGCGCATAGCCGCCAGGAGATAGCGCCTGGGATGCTGGCGCGGGCTGCGGGGGCGCCCAGCAGACCCGCGGCGAAGCTGGCAGCACTTCGCATCATACTCTACAACCCGCTGTCGCTGGTCGAGCCCCAGAGGATCAGGGACGTCTGGGAGACCTTGAGGGCGGACATCGTGGTTC